TCGTTCGCTCTGATCATCTTCTCTAAATACAACACAATATAAATTTCCCTTCCTTACATATAATGTAATGGTACACGTATGAAAAAACAAAAAATTGTCTTCTGATAATAAAATTATCCTCTAAAAAACTCTTCTTTTTTTTGTTTTCCGTTGAATAAATTACAATTCGCTTTTAGAAAGAATATTTGGTACAAGGAAAATGCTACAAGTACATAATAAATGTACATAGAGGTTGATATTATACTACACCCGGTTTAATGGAGAAAACGAATATATATTGGAAGATAAGCCGACGTATGGACTAAGCGTCACGATATGGGCCAAGCCCAACTTTGGCCTAAAAGGTACACTCCCCCTATAAAAGGGGGCCAAGGTATCTCATTCTCACTATTCTCTCATCATTTCATACTACACTTTCTCTCTCTTAATCTGAGCATTGACTTAAGCATCAGAGGCCCGACGCTGGGGCCACCCTCGGCGTTGGGTTCTGCAGGTGCGGAGGCCGTTCGAATTGAAGGAACCCGGGTGAAATCTATTTCACTTTATTGGCGCCGTCTGTGGGAACCCGTCAAAAAGTCAAGCGGAGTTCCGACTGAAAAAATTCGAAAACCTCCTTCTTCTCCACCGGCCGCCGCCACCGCCGCCGGCCGTCGGAAAATGTGCTCCGATCGGAAAATCGTTTACATTATCGGATAGATCTCCTCAAGGTGAATATACCCTTAAAATTTCATGTGAAAATTCATTGGGGAAGACCTTCAATTTCGTGGTCAAATGTTCCAGATCTAGGGAAAAATCGGTCAAAATGGGACATTCAAACGCATTTTACCGGCGATCCGTGAGGGCTATGGAAAATCTGAGGGTACCCCCGGAATCCTCTCGACGAGACAAATCTCCAGCTACCGGTCTTCGCCGGAAACCATCACCCCTCCCGCCGTCCGCCGCCACCTCCGCCGCCGGCCGCCGGTCAAAGTTGTCCGATCAGAAAAATTCTTATGTCATTTGAAAGCTCTTCTCATGCTCGTTCTACCCTTAAAATTTGGAGCAAAAATTCCATCCGGAAGGCCGTCAATTGGCCGGTCAAAGTTCTTAGATCTAGAGATAATTTGGTCAAACTTTGGTCATCTTCCCCAATTTGTCGGCGATTTCCAGCGAGTCACGTAGAATCGACGCCACCATCGGGACCGTTTTGCCAAGGCGCCCACGCGGACAGTCACTCTCGTCGGATCCAGCTATCCCCGTCCGACGACTTTTCTTTCCGGCGAATGACAACCGCCATGCTCGCAGAACCGTGAGCCAGCTTCTATGCGCGTAGCCCAGCCCGCGGTCGAGCCCAACAAGAAGGCCCGCACTCCCCGCAGCCCAGGAATGATCCAGTCACAATTTCGAGCCCAGCACGACGTCAGCCCAAACGCGTGTGGCCCAGGAGTAATTAAGGCGGAACAAATTTGCGCCAGCC